TGCGATAATTCTCATAGAGTTTCATGGACGTCCATGAAAAGTTTCATGGAACTCCTTGGACTTCCATGAAAGTCCAAGGAGTTCCATGAAACTTTTCATGGAAGTGAAAGGAGTTCCATGAAAATTTTCTTGGAAGTCCAATGAAGCCCATGCACGCATTTCATGGAGACCAATGTCGAACACAGCCAAGGCTCATTGTCGGCATTTATCAACCAAGTTGGACGTCACTGGAATATTTATTGAACGTCCATGAAATGTTTCATAGACTTCCATGATGAAATATTTCATGGAAGTCCATGGAAGTTAATGGACTGGTTTCATGGAAGACCATGGACGTCCATGGACTTCCATGGACTTCCATGAAATATTTCACCAAAAAACACTATAATGTAGATGACTGCATGCAGCCGAGGCCAATCGCTGAGGAGGGAAACAATTTCAACAATAATCCGCCGCACAGTGCCAACCACCTCGAGTGGGAAACTGAACACACCAGTCGCTCCTCTTCTTGCAGACAGGCAAGCTTCCGCTAGAATTTTGTGCATACCCACTTGACTGCTGCTGCATCTCGCCTTTCAAGACCCCAAACGGCACAGCAGTGTGTTGCTGCGTTGCATGGTTGCCGCATGTGTCCAGTGGGCAATGTATAGTCTAGGTACGGACAAGGTACCATATCTACAATACATACATGTGTACGAGAGCTGACCGCGTCTCCCTCCCTCCCGATAATCGCCTGCTCTCTGTGTCAGTTTGAACTTTGACGGCATATGGGTGTGCCGTGTGTGTTTCTCGGCTGCTATCTTGACGGTGTGGGTGTGGCGTGTGTGTTTCTCGACTGCTTTGTTTCGACTGCTTGTTGTTGATGAGGTACCTACATCGACTTGTATGTGGCATCCAGAAGAGATTGAGAGCACGGATTCTAAAACAACGTCCTTCCGACAATGTATTCTATGTTCACGTAAAACCGTTATTTTGTAGATTGTACGTGCCTTTATGCCCTCTGTCCTACCGATTACCTCGGGCAAACACACACAGATCCAAATAATAATAACAGTCACACCCGATTCGGTAACCTACCAACCATGTGCGTGGTTGTTTCTTTTGTCGGCCACCGGAGCAAACCATTCACACACAGATGGACAAAATACATTGGCCATCAATGCTGTACCTGAATGCCATAGTATACATTCCGACCACCTCGAGCATTAAACAACCGATGATTGTGTGGAATCTATCCCCATCTGTGGAAAACTTGCTGCCCATGACCCTCTACAGACACACTTGAGATTGGTTTTTTTCAAGAGGTTCCGTGCGTTTCGATGTTGTATCCGTAGGAGGACGTATTGACTGCACTATTAGTCTGCGACAGTACATAGTACGCCCTGTGATGCTTGTGAATGGGTACATAGTCAGCCTGGAATATGCTCCAGGTGCCAACTGATCACAGTCATCTGAAGTGCTTGTCCAGCAATACGTGGTATAAACCACGTCTCTTCGGGACATTTCTGTTCATGTCCATTCAGTTTAAACATGGCAGGACAGAGTGATCTCGAGTGACACTAGTTGGTTTCAAAGCACCGGGGCCATTGACTTCATTCCCAACCCTACTTGCATGCTCTACGGAGGCATGGTCGAGATGTCGAAAAACGTGCGCCTTAGGTCGATATTGGTTCTTGAGACTAGACCCAGCCGGGGTAAGGATGGGGGTATCGGAATGACATGGGAACACTGCGACAAAAATGAACTTCCGCTGATGAGACTGAACGTTACAGCTTGAAATGTGACTGAAGCTCGGAGCTTCAGAAATCTGCCATTTTCTTTACCTGGGATTTCTGCTACACACACCACTCTTTTCCCTCACCGTCGTCTCCGCCACCGTCGCATGTCTTCGGTTTCACCGACAAGGTGATAAACAACAACAACCGCACCCCCCTCACCGTAGTTTCATCATCGTTGAGACCCATTGATGTGAAAATCATAATCGGTACGCATCGTGGCAGCGTTGCTGCCAAAGTAAAGCCAGCCAGCTCCCTTAATTAGCCGTGCAGGCTGAGTACTGCTGCGTTGTGCGGGCGTTCATGCAGACAATTACATCGACACACGGTCTTCTCGGGGCCTTGCAGGCAGGCGGCCCCTGCGGACAGCAGTCTTCATAAAGCAGGCTTGACGAGCGCTGGTTCTCCCTCTTCCACCCTCTGTACGAAGCCAGACAAAGCCGCGCACACATCGGCCGCTACCTCATGGTGAGGGCTGCGTGGAACGGATGCAAAGCGTGGGTGACGCGGGGGTTACACCAACCCGAAAAAACAAGAGCGACGAGAAAGAACTACAAGCGGTAGGGACGTGGAAAGACACACGTGGACAAAGCTCAAGCACGGTCTATTTAGATCAACCAATAGGTGGTACGATAAGAGAAGGAGACCCTGTTTGTTGGGTCGTGCGTGCGGCGACTAGCTCGACTCGAGAGTGAATCGGAAAACCACCTCACCAAGACTAAATAACCGCGGCCAAGCACGGGCAGGGAGTGCACCACCTGCTGCCTCCTGTCCCACAGCGCACTAACCTAAACGACCGTGCCCCAAAAAACACCAACTTCTGTTATCATGCGGCAGCAAAACCACGATGCTCTCACCAGTGTCCCCCGTCCAAGCGAACCACCGACACCTGGGGGCCGAGAGCTTCGAACAGCGTCGCTCTCCCGTCCGCGTCGTTGAGGGGATCCTTCACGCCCTGGGTGACTAACACTGGGCCCTGCGTGTGTGGGTGTGCGTGTCGTGGGCCACATGCACGGGCGTGCGATAGCGGCATCGATCGAGTAGTGGTCAGTGCACGCGGTGCAAGCCACAAATAACCCTTCCCCGGCTCTGGTTCAATCCTCTGACCGAAACCCCATGGCATGACTACAGGCGCCCGCCACGACAAGCACACTGGGGCAAGGTCGGCCCGGCTCACGAGCAACAACAGCATGAACATGAGCACTAGTATCGGGGGCAGGTTCTCGTTCTGCGAGCTGACGTAAATTACAGGCGTTCGGGTCTCGTGAGGCTGTGGCAGGCAAGAGGTCTTGCGCTCCCCCGCCTGGACCTTCAAGACCATTGGTGTGTGTGTGGGTGCCGAATGAATTGGACCAGCTCGGTTCAGTGTCGTCCACCCCAGCATGCGGTTGTCCATCACACGACCCTTTTGTCTGTTGTTGGTCGTGAAGAAGCAGCAAAGAACAGGTATGCACCTCGGCCTTGCAGTCAACCCTGGCTACTAGACTCACCGAGTAAACTCCTCAACGGCACTTCGGGAAAAAAAAAAAAAGGAATACAGCTATGAACAAAAAAGCGCTCCAGAACCGGCCCGTGCTCACCCCGAACTTCCCCAGCATCTCATTGGCCGAGCGCGAGAAAGGGAGCTTGCCCCCGGCGGCGATCACGCCGACAGCCCCCGGATCGCACGAGTCTCGCAGTATGTTCTCCGCTAGCCCTTCGTCCACGATGCCCGGGTTCTGCAGGATGACGGGAGGCGGGAAAGGGTGCTCGTCGTCGACAAAACGCAGCTACCCGTAGTGGTCCAGTGTTGCAGGGCCTAGGGATGATGTTGCCCGACATGTTACAAGCAACACCGAGAAAATATACTACAACGTGGGCGGCGGCCTCATGTAGCTCATCATGAAGTGGGATATTTCGGTGATTGATGGTTGTTTGAGTGATTGATGGATACATGGTACAAGGCGTTGCAGCGGCGGTTGTTGGCTGCACAACACAGATGACCAGGGAGAAGTCTGTCTCGATGTTGGTGCATTCATCGGGTGTAGGTTTTGTGCCGTGAACGAGGGGGAGACTGCCCACAAGAGTAGGGTGCCTCGAAACGAATCAGGTGCGGAAGGAGGATACTGCTGTAGACACCGGCCACAGCAAGGAGCAAACGACGTCTCTGCGCGCCTTTTGCGGCCTCCTAACCGCACTCATTGGCCGGTAAGAGGGGAAGATTGCTGTTCTTGCCGTTGTCTAAACAAAACAAAAAACGTTCCAGTCTCTGCTCAGTACCTTCCTTCATCCGAAATTCGGGCGCCTTGCGTGGTCAGTCGCAGGCCGAACACCCGCAAAAGGGACACACACAACAACAAAAACAAACTTGAAGGCCCTAGAACAGCATCACAAACCGTGGTATGAACAAAATGCAATGAAAAAAACACAAACACGCCAAAGAGAGACGCACTCACGACCGGATAGACGTTGCGGCACGTCTCCGCGATGCGGCCCTGCAAGAAGGCGAACAGCCCGGTCCCCAGCACGGCGAGGGCCGCGTTGGGAGGGGCGGAGTAGGCCCCCAGCCTCCCCCCGCGGGTGGCCTCCTCGACGCTTAATCCCCCGTACTTGACGGTGGCCTCCGTTTGGAACTCCTCGTCGTCTAGAATTCTTCCTGCGGGGGTAAAAAATAGAAGGAGGCGTTATTCAGAGAAAGGCGGGGGTTGTCGAGGGCGCGGAGGGTTCTCGTGGGTGGTGGGTGCTCTTGGATGCTTTGTGTTGATGCGACGTGTTGCTGTCTTGGTGGTGGGTGAACGGAAGGGGGCACGCCATCCCATGAAACGTACCACGGGATATTGACTCGCGGTGTGCTGGACACGCTTCCCGACGGGCCCTCCCGACGTGTCCATCAAGAGGGACAACGCCCAAAAGTCATGCACGAGGGCACGTTCGGGTGAGGGGCATCCGGTGCCAACCAAATAAACACCTGTCGTTGAGGTATGGTATCTGAACATACGTCTCTGAGGTGTGGTAATCTGTATATTGTGCGCTGGCACTAACAGTCCACGCTTAGTTACTTACAAGCTGTCGCCATGTGTTGAGTATCTAGGCAGTAATATTCTTCGCAATCGGTGTAGACAGGTAGGTCGTCCATTGCCCCTTTCGCGGAGACAGACGTACCTGCGCTGTTCACGAGCACGACGCCTCGGCAGAGCTCCTTGCAGTCTGCGGCCACCCCCATCGAGATGTACCTAAGGACAGTACACGAGACCCGCCGCATGAAGGGACACGACCACCACACTTTTCTTCCAAAGCAAACACATTGGACAAAGCAGAGATTCGGCTGAGTTACGGTTAGGTTTGTGTATCTCCTGCCTGGTTTTCTTCGTCCCCTCTTTCTTTTCGTGGGCAGTCCCGCGACCAGGAGTATGGATGTGTGCTGGATCCGAAGGATGTGTGGAGATCCCATTCGTACAATCTCCGCAACCCTTGCGCCCCCCAGGACAACTCTCTCTTCTCACAGCTCCAAGAGATGTCCTTTTGTTGTGAAGCATCATGCTGTCGAGAGACGGACCCCAAGAGTCCCTAGCCACACAAAGAAAAAAATTACCATGATAGTCTGATCCTGTTCGCAGTCTAGCCACACAACGAATACAGTGACCATGATAGTCTGATCCTGTTCGCGACCTGGCGGACGGAGCGGGAGGTAACACATAGAATGTGTGGAGACACGAGCATTTTGGACACGCGACATGATGAACGAAACCCAAGGCCACCGCTCGTGGAGTCTGGTTGACTGACAGTTTATCCCTGTCCCCCTCGCGAAGGTGTGGCGATCGGGGTCAGAGATACCCTGCCCTAGGCAATCTCACCCGGAAAAAAAACAAAAAAAAACGCGCATGCCCAAAAACAGTTGGCACATGTCCAGAAAGCAACGAACGCCATACTTCCATCATTGGTCATTACCACCTCCAAACCCGTTGAACACTCTTCCCAGAAAACACGAGGACGTACCGAACACAACCTCCGTCCATTGAACGGACGCCCGACGCACAATTTTTTTCCTTTTTGACCTCCTCGACTCACCCTCCGATCGAGTTGCCGGCGATGAAGAACGGTCCCCCGCCGACCCTTAGAGCAACGTCTCTGGCGCAGTCCGCCCACGAGTACTGGGAGAAGGACAGCGGAGGCTTCGCCGAGTGCCCGAAGCCCACGAGGTCAAGCGCCAGAAGCCTAACCCCTTCTTGCGCCGCCGCGGCATCACCGGCGAGGTCACCGCCGACACCGCCCGAAAGCGGCAACTTTCCATCAGCAGAGGCAGCAGCAGCAGAAGAAGAAGAAGAAGAAGAAGGAGAAGGACAAGGAGAAGGAGAAAACTGTTCGAAAACGCGGTCCCACTGGTCGGAAGAGGCCCCGAAGCCATGGACCAGGAGGGCGGTGGGCGCGGCGGCGTCCCCGCTGCCGCCGAGGGCGTACCGCACCAGCCAGCCCTGCCAGCGGAGGTACCGTTGCTCCATCGCCTCTGGTAGAAGCAAATGGATTAATCAAGCGATCTTGCCTGAGGAGACAGCGCAATAAAGGGTCCATCCAGAAAAAAGAGTCTCTACAATACGGTCTGCTTGTTTATTCTAGGTTTTAGGAGTACATGACTTGATTTTAGACTACAGGGGTCAGCAGATGCACTTTTCTTTCTTCGGAACACACAGCGGATTGCAGCAGAGAACACACGCACTGCGGGCGACACCACACAGCAAACAACACACGCACAGCAAACAGCTTACGCGTAACAGGCGACACACACGCACAGCGGGCGACAGCATCTGGGTTCGATGCCGCTGGACTCTCTGTGGTGTAATGAGGCTATCAATGTATTGCTGTCGCGCATGTTTTTTTTTTTTCGTCCCGTTCAACTGCCAGCAATATGAGCACAGCACCACATTAGTTCTCGAAACCTAGGACGCCGATCGACATCGCACCACTTCGAGCGTGTGCTCCATTGTGGTGTCTCTGGGCGTGACAGTTGTGTTGGGCATGGGTTCTGTATGCGGCGAGAGCATCGTGGCGATGTGAAATCCGGCTTGGCTTTTTCGTCTGGCGATGCGGCCCGCCTGCCAGGGCAAAAAAAAACGATTTCGATTCCACGCCGCCACGAAGGTCTTCCCACACACAGCACCCATGCCCAACACAACTGTCACGCCCCGAGATATCGCAATGGAGCACACGCTCGAAGTGGTGCCATGACGATTGGTGCGCTAGGTGACGAGAACTGACTTGTGTCCTGCTGTATCGTTAGCAGTTGGAAAAACACCGAACCAAAAAAGGAGGGAACAGGGGGTTCAGCACTAGTAGGCGCGGGGTATGTATGACCACGAAAGCGGGATGTGGACGGGGGGGGGAGGTAACCGGAAGGTGAAAGTTAACATTACCGCAGCTCTCACACCAGCGCACAGCAGGTAAGTGTATCAAGTGTGTGGTGTTTGCACTCTGTTTCCGCCCATGAACGCACACGTCTGACGACAGTTACATCTATCCATCTATCAGCTGTCGCTCGTCGCTCGTTGTAGCGACAGCTAGTATATATTTTATCACCGTGGGGGGGGGAGCCGTGGATGCCGTAGGCATTTGATCATTGACCTCGCATCCCGACGAAGCCGGGACGGTGCACGCCGGGTTTTCACAGGACCAGGCTAGCACGCGGAGGGGGGGGGGTGTACTCATAGTCGTGCATGCCGTAGTCGTTAGACCATTGACCTCGCATCCCTGCAAAGCCGGGACGGAGCACGCCTGGTTCTCACCGGACCAGGCTCTCGGAAGGGGGGGGGGGGTAATAACTCGTTGTTTGCCCAAGGTATGTCTGAATCGTTGGTCGGGTGTCTCGGAAAGCAGGCCGTTGGCCACAAGGGGCCAGGCTGTTACTTGCTGGCTTTGGATAAATCATCCATGGATTCGCAAAAAAGTGGAGATGAAAAGGAAACGAGGCAAAGTGGTGATGGAAAGGAAACGAGGCAATTCTCGGGAACCGCTTGCGGATGACGACTGGGTGATTTTTTATTCCTCGACGGAAAGGGGTAGCAAAACCTGAGGCAGGAGCTCTTGGAGAGTAAAGAAAGAGCAACGAAACCCCCCCCACGCCGCATCCTACCAATCATTATACCGTGGAATTTTGCTGGCGAAGCTCGAGGCCTATTTCCCGGCGGACGGTTGTGCGTCCCTTACCCGCATTCTTGCAAACCCCATCACAACACACCATCACAACACGTGTTTTGAGTGCTATTTATTGTTTTTGAAAAAAAAACGTGTGCCAAACACACAACAGATCAACACGCTCACGTCCTCCTTGGTTGTTCCCGACAGTTATGTCCCTCTGCGCGAGCAGCGAGTGCCAAGACTCGATCACCGCCAGTTTCCTCGCCCAGCACTTGGAGGGCGCCCGCCGATCTAGGAAGCTCATCCAGGGGGATCCTCGCCCCTCAGCGGCGGCATCGGGTCGGGTAGGTGCCGGCCTGTAGTCAGGCTGTCGTGCCAGGAACATTCTGTCACGGGCAAGGAGAGAATGGAGGATATTGAGGTGAGAATTTCGACGATATTGACTATAGAGACAGGCAGAAACACAGGTAGACACAGAGACAGACACAGACGCACGCAGAGACGGACACAGTTCGACAACAGACGAACACAGACACAAGAACACAGAGGCGGACAGACAGGCAAACCATCAGACAGACTGGTTGAAGAAGAAACAGGACAGGAACAGACGCAGGAGGCAAAGACAAAGCGGCTTCGACCTCAACTATAGTATTCCACCTCAACTGCAGTTTTTCCGAAGCAACGAAAACAAGTTAGAAAAGCAAACGACTTCAGTTTGAACGCCAGATGGCGGAGTTTTCTACAGCAGGACCACCACGTCAAATGGGCGAGAGAAACACAACCCACCTTCGCGGCGAGATGCAGCCTAGAGCGATTGCCACGCCCAGGGCCCTCGCCAACGCCTCTCCAGGGGCCAGTCCGCCGTACCCCCTCGCCCTCACTATTCGCCGCGTGGTGACCGCCTCAAGCCCCGTCGGTTCTCCCCCACCCGCGGGTTCGCCCTCTTCCGGCCCAAATACGCTCCTGAGTCGAGGGGAAAACCCACGCAGCACGCGGTTTTCGGAGGGGCGCAGCCGGGGAAGAGAGAAGGATGCCGGGAACGCGTAGCTTGTTGTGTGTCTACCAGCACGCTGCCGTGAGTTAGGAAGGGCCTGGCTTGCCTCCTATCATTTGCTGCAACGCTATCGGGAAAAATAGGAGCCGGTTGGACGTCTCATCTGCGTGTAGTATATAAAAGGGTGGGTCTGACTTGGCTCGTGGATGAATCTGGCTGTGTGTTGGCGTCTAACAGCTCTGGCTTGTGTTGGTTCATGCAAGCGTCCCGCTAGCAGGCTGCAACATAGTTCTCCATTTACGTGCAATGCTGTCATAGACCACGCCAAGGGCGAGTAGTGTATGCAGTGCGTTGCTCATGTCGTGGGAAAGGGATAGACCACGCCCGAGCAGCAACCACCCGTACGGACCTCAGCTCCATTGACCATCTTCGGTGTGGAAAAACCTCTCTCTCGGGTACCTGCGACTAGATTTCGTACGCGAACTCCAACAGATGCTACTACAACGCCCGCAAAAAAAAACACCTCGCAAAGTCAACTTCGCCCATCGTCAGGTAGTCGTCGAGCATCGCCAGAGCTCGAGACTCCCCGTAGCCCTCCACGCATAGATCCAGAGCGCCGAAGGGGGCCTCGGCTTGCGCTGCCGCGGACAGAGCTTCCTGGACTTGGGGGTTACGGCTGTCGAACAGAACGAGTGGCAGGCCATAGGGGGCACAGCAGAATGAAGAGGGAAGTCGGGTAAGCGCGCGCGGGGGGGGGGGGTCTTGGTGGCCTGCGGACGGGAATTGTACACCCAATCGGATCGGACACATGACAGCCTTCCAGCTCGACCCCGGACCCGCCTAGAGCGCACACAAACGCTTTCACAACTACGGTATTGACTGCGAGCGGCACAGTCCGTGTGCGGGAGAAAACGCGCTACCAAGGCTGGACATCATACATTGTGTCTATTGGTATCGACCCACCTGCCAACCCCGGCGAGCACCTCCTCCAAGCTCGGAAAGCTTCCAGGGTCGATTCCGTCGGGGATCGGTGGAAGCGTCGAGGGCGCGGGGAACTCCGAACGTGCCGGTTCGTCTCCCTGGAACCGTTTTTTCTCGAAATCGCGGAAGTTCCAGGCCCCATCCGAGTCGTGCCCGTCGACGCCGGTGAGCTGTGAGGCCGACCAAGAGCGGACCTCAACACCGGCGGCGGTAGCGGGCGGCCGTCGCTTGGCGTCGCCGCCTCGGTCGAGGTGTCGCTCCGGAGCAAGAGCGGCTCGGACTCGCTCGTGTGACCGGCGCAACGCGTGCACGGGACTGTGAATTTTGTCGATAAGCACGAAAAACAAAAAAGAGACCGCACGTTTACGTTTGTACTGAGTCTGGCTTGAAGGGGGCGGTGGTCTGAATCTCTCGTCGGAACAATGTTGATTGAAACAACCATACTTCGAGATGACGTACCCGTAGGACTCAAAAACTTCGGTGTGTACGACAAGAGCACGTCCGGCATGGCGGTGCCCGCGGGCACCACGGGTAAATCCCTCTACTGAGCAGCGTGCAAGAGGCTGATGACGAAAACCAAACAGTTCTGCGACACTCAAAGCCGTTGGCTTCTTGTTGGCAGCTGCTTTGCAAAGAAGAAGACAGGGGGGAGGAAGGTCAGTGCGGCGGCCGTGTACCGCGTTCGTTGGCAAAACAAACCTCGAGTGGAAGAAAACGTGAGATGCCCCCGCCTGCTTGACCAAGCTCCCGACTTCTTCTGCGGCATCCCCTGACCGCACGACGAGGTCGCTGCCGATGCCTCGTAGGGTTTTTCTGAGGTCTTGCACCGCGTGGAATGCGAAGGCGGCGTCGAGACGGCTCTCTGCCGCTAGCTCCTGAGATTGTTGGCCAAAACGACGAAGAGAGATTTCGCGGGAAGGGGGAAGAGACCATGAGTTCCTCGAGAGAAAAAAAAACGAGACAGAAGTCGGTTGGCGTCGAGACGACTCTCCGCCGCTAGCTCCTGAGAGTGTTGGCCCAAGCGAAAAACGATTTTTTCACAGAGTCTTCAGTTCCTCAAGAAAAAAAAGGTTGGTATGGTTTCGAGCGTTCACGATGTGACATGAGCTGTCTACTAAGCTGGACACAGTGATACCCAAGCGACACAAAATGCTAACTGCTGTGGACACGCAATGCTCAGCACCGTACCAGAAAACAATTGGGAGATATCCCACGTGTTCAGAACCGCCAACATTTAGTTACAGCAGTAGCTATCCGTCGCTGGGGGAAGTATCGAGCCTCGATGTATTCTTCTCCCAACGAGGGCTTGCGTCTTAATTAAACTCATGGTCTGAAGCAAAGCTCTGATGATTGTGCGTGTGCAATGAGGAGACCCGCCAACAACCCGAACCTCGCGCAAAACAAGGTGATTCGTGTCTGCGGTACGCCTTCCCGAGAGTGATAACTCGAGTGTTCACAAGATCTTGAAAAAAAAACGCACCGTGCATTGCCGGCTGCACACGCCAGCAGAGCACGCCCCATCACGCGCTCGTACGGGTTTGCACCTCCCTACCGTAGGGTGCACAAAACACAACAAAGCCTAGACCGCTTCTCAAAGCCCGAGTGCTCTGCGGAAAAAACAGTGACGGCGGTGCTGGAAATGGGAGTGTTGGGATCGGCTGGTCAAGAGCTTTCATTTTCCGGAATGCATCATTTGACTCCTGGCATCCTCTGCGTCGTGGAGACTTCGAGCTTTGTAAAATCGGTCCACGGGGGGTGGTATCTTACCCAACTTGTTATGTGCAACCGTATACGCCACCCTTCTTTCTCTCGAAATCTACCAATGACATTGCCAACGAGGTACCAGTATCTACTACTGCTGTAGGTCTTGCCGTTGCCTGTGAAAATGGAACCTGTGCACGCAAGTCTACGACACCGCCCGCTTGTGTAGGGGGACATGGAACCCGTATTGCTGCACGAAAACGGCTGCTATAATCCTTCAAGGTGCTTGAGAACCTCCCCCCAGGGATCGACCTCTCAGCGACAGGATTGATGGGGGACCTCGCAAGCTATCTGTCGACAGGAGATTGCGGATCATGAACTGCCGTCAAGCTACTGTAAAGCAGGCCTACAGCAGTAGTTGTGGCATTGACGGTTTACTCTTGAGTGTTCAATAAATGCCAGGTACAGCAGAATTGTTCCTGGATACCTCACCATCAACGTCGAAAGGTGCGCTACTGTACAAAACTTGAAAGCTGGACACACCTGATCATCGAAGACGTACACGGGCACAACCCCCGCCGCCCCGGCGGCGGCAACCAACGCGTCGTGGTCATGGGTCCGCAAGTCGCACGCGGTGAAGTACACCACGGCAACATCGTCAGAACCCAGCAGGGGGAGCTGCAGGACAGAGACCCTCGGCAGTGGAGGTTCCGCCCAGAAGGCCGCCATGCTTACACCCGCACGCCCGTTGTTGCGGTGATTTCTCCGCTGGGTGAGCCAGGGGCTGCTGCTTCCTAGATGGGGTGCAGCGGAGCATCGCGAGGAGCGCGTGCCACCGATGCCGCCGGAGCTCACACCGCTGGTGCTGATGCCGGTGCTTCGCGCACGCTGCGTCTCCTGCTGACGCAGCAAGGCTGTTGGGTTCAGGTCAGCGCGGTGGACAAACGCCGACTGAGGCCTGGTGGCGGCATGGGCGCACGTGAGGACACACAGCAGCGACAGCGGAGCTGCCAAGCCCATCGTGTGCTGCCTTTGTACTCACCTCTACCATGATCATGAGAGCATGAGACAGCAGCCTGAGAATGCGGCGGAACTCGACATGCAGGCACTGTCGTTCTCTCATCCCCCTTGGTTTTTTCGCCGCTTTTCGGGGCTTTCGCTTGTCTGACAACACCCACCGCGCCCCCCATCCCGCTCCAGGCGATCCCACCTCTGCCCACACCCCGTAGTCGCCCTGCTCCCTGCATCGCTAGAAAAATCGGAAACAGAGAGGCATTACGTGTACTGTGTAGTCTAAGATTACGCGTGGGGGGATCTCTTGACGGTACATTTAGATCTACATACAGCAGAGACAAGTCTGTATGCTTTACAGTATCGACTGCCTCAGTCTTTGTGGGACGACAAACAAACCTCGATCACAAGCGTATTAATTACAAACGTAGGTTGGGTTCAAACAAGCACGACCATCAGCGTGTTTTCCGATGATGTGACCAAATGGAAAGTAGGAGTATGTCAGATGTCTACCTGTATACACAACATCTAACCTGCGGTCCCACAGGTCTTGTTGTTGTTGTTGTTGTTGTTGTTGTCTTCATATTAAAAAAAACCGTTCTGATCTCTCTCTACCCACCTTCGTATGTCCGTACTGATCCAACACTGGACGCGGTCGATTCCCGTGGTCACAGGTTAACTTACCCTAAAAAGGTACACTCAAATAAACTGGCCCCGAGGGGTCCGCAAGTCAATAGAAATCAACGACAGATATTCTGGAATCCTCCACTCCCTCTTCGCGCTATGCGAGGTATCAACTGAGACTAGAGGTCACAGGTCTGCACCACATTGAATTTGCTTCACCTGCCCTTCGCTTTGTAAGAGCGGGAAAAAAAAAAAATTGCACCCCGCTTACAAAATTTTCACTCTGCGCGTTCATTCCCAAAGGAACCATATTGTCGCTACGCCATTGTTGATGTCCGGAAGGCGGCATCGGCACAACAACAAGAAGGAGTGCGTGATGGCTGCTGAGACGAACCCTCGAACTGGCACATTTGGGTATATGCCACATTTGGGTATTGTCAGCCCCGAAGTCGACATCCTGATTCGACTCGTGAGACGAAACCTTCGACCTATTGTAGGCTGTTGTGTGCCGAATGTAGAACAGCCGCCTCTTATTCTTCACACCATAGATACCGTCAGTCTTTGTTTGTCGTTGTTGTTGTTATTTTGTTCACATGGAAGAACGCTCTGATTTCTTCCCATCCGTATTGTAGTCCAACTGACGCGCGGACTATTTTCTTGATCACATGCACATATTGTAACCGCAATTCCCGAAACTCGTCTGAAGGTCACAACCGATAATAACGTCCAGGAACAAGAGGGCGTGGAATAAAATTACCCCCAGTGGAGAGACATCCGTACTTGATCAAGAAAACGCTGTTTCCCACGCCCATACGACGATACCGCCCACAGGCCCACAGGTTTATACTTTCAACTCGATCTACCTTATACGCCAAGGCGGTAAAAATGTGATCCCGGTGGCCGTGCCGCCCATGGGAGGGCGGCCGCCAACTCTACGTAAGAATGATGACAGAAATGATTTTTCGTCGAGAGAGGCCCTTGCCACCTTTGGCAAAGTGGGAAGGAACGATTCGCCATCGGTGATCGATCCTTTGGGGAAAATGGTCCTTCCTCTCGAGGGCGGGTGGTCAATGTGGCGTACTCGCTGAGGCCTGCACAATATGATTGCGCCCCCCCGCCTCCCTATTGGAAAGCTGTGATATTTTAGTATTATTTGACCTGTTGCCCTCGTCGTCGCCGTTGATGGAAAACAAATGACCCACATCACCTCCGCCTCCTCTCGAGAGAACCAAGGGGCTCGTTGAGGCACCTCTAAGGTCCACACCAACCTCGCCCTACTTCTTCGTCCACATTGATCCGTCATAGTCTGGCCGTCCGCCCCATTGGAAGGGCGACGGGCCACATCCTTGTCCCTAGCTCATGGTGTACACTGAACGCAACGCTTGCTGCCAAACTAACCCTAACACAACGACTCGCTGCAAAATTCCGAAACGTTTTCACAGGACACGATCGCACGGAAAATCATTTCAACGCCAAGCCGTATCTACCAAGCTTCTCCTTGTGCACGCTGCAGGCATACTCATACAAGAGCATATCTAACCACACGTACTGCCTCAAAACTGGATCTGCCGTTGCTACGGCCAGCACAGCCTTTTTCTCAGTCGATTTGTTGGAGCCGCCTTCGCCAAAGAAGCTGAAGCGACAGTCCAATTATAGTCAGGCATCTGCAAGGTGTGGTCGAACAGCATCATGCTACTCTGTAAATGCTCCAAAATCCCAACAGCGGAATACTTCGATCTCAGCGGCTCCTCAACTGGCTGGAGAAGTTGCGGTATCCACGCACTCTGCCACTCGTTGTGCATCGTAGTGGTTGTTCCAATCGGCTTGTTTCCCGGGTATGCAGCAGGCGCTCGAAGTACAATTTAGCCTTGTACCAAGCAGGGGCGTCAACCTCTTCAGCATTTATCTCCTGTTTATCTACAACACCTAGCGCGAACTGTAGAAGGGCATATGCTGGGCGAAGTCATAGATGTCACCGTCTTCCGGCTTGTGAATGTTCGACGCGCACAATTGGTCACGGCTACCTCCGCTGCACCAGAAGAAGGCCGAAACGAGTCGAGCAATGGGGCTGTCGACAACAAAAAAAGGAATTTCCGGTGCGGCCGGGGTTCAAGTCGAAGTGGAGTTCACGCGACGCACGGTAGACACGAAGAAAATAATCAAGTTTCATCCAGAATAAAAAGCGCGCGCGTTTCTCTTGCCTGTAATCGATCGACATACTCGTGGCAAACGCACGGACCGTGTTGGCCCTTCTTTCGAACAAGTTTCGGAAAAATTGAGCGTATACAGTACAGTGTCCCAGCAGAACAAGAAATCCTGCGGGAAACTCACTGTCGCATCATGGTGAACCATTTGCACCCTTGAAGAGCGGTCGCCCGCAGACCCTCGGTGTACCCCCCCGCGATCAGCGGCGGCCTGTTGCCCAGAAGATTTTGTAGTGCTTCATCACCATGTGAGTACCAGCCAGCGTTGAACACCACAAGTAAGTGCCGTCTGGAAGATCACCGCCCACATTAGTTGGTGTAGCGAACGTACCCAAGGCAAGAGTTGCCAGACACAGGCAAACGAGTAGGCTCTGCATCTCGGCACAACGGACCCCCTGAAAGGTTGAGATGAAGGGTGAACACGCGTTGCAGACGAGGCAAGGCAAAAAAAAAGTTGGGACCGGGTCACTACCGCATGCATAAACTATCTGCCATCCTGGTTGGGTGCAGCTTCATCAGAGAGAGACTGTAGATGCCGAAAGCGAAGACAAGGCTGCCTCAACACCTTATATCCATTTACGAATGAGAGACATGACGTGAGGGAGGCAAGAAGAGCCTTGCTGCTTGTTACGCCCACCATATGCATTCATGTCCATCCTGTTTCTATGTTCATACTCACAGGATGTAGCAGGACACGTTTGCCTTGATATTGAAATAAATGTGCTTCACATTGCTACTCACAGTGTTGTCGTCTAAGTTGACGGTTGACTCAAGGGTGCCCGAAAATATTTTTCCGACACCTACTATGTACAACGTACCCATTTTCCTATGTGCGAGGATTTTTTGTTGGGGGCCCTCCAAAACGCCATATTTTTTCCTACATAAACCATGATATACAAATCCCAATATTACAGGGGGCACCGTATGGCCTACGGAAGTCCTTGGGCATGTGCGTGCCCCCTAGCCTGTGCACTGCGAGTGTGGTGCGCCCTCGCGGGCCTGTACGCTGTGCTGTGTTCCAGGGAAAGCATGATGAGCACGCCCTCAGGGGGGGGCGTAGGCCTAGGCCAGGCGCATTTATGGAGCGATCATGTACAAAGAGAAGCGGCGGCGACGGTGGTGTCGAGTCGACTTGCTCCTGTGGGCGAGGATTCGGCGATGGTTCCCGCCAGGCGGGGCCCTAGCGGCGAGAGGCGTTCCCGCAGTATTTGTCGATTGGAAGGTCGAGTGCCCCCGCTGCTGCTTGAGGGTTGGCGCGAAAGCCCTGCTGCAACACATCGCCGGACATATCCTTGAGAAAGAGGTACGTACGTGTCCACGTGCGGTGTGTTCAGTGCTTTACAAGTGAGCAATCCAAGGCATTTTCACAGTAGAACGTGTGTTTTTGTAACATGATGTCATGTGGACGACGTGCACGCCAACGTTGATCTTGATACGTCCACGAAAATCCAATGATTCAACTGATTTCAACATCTTTCCTTTCCTCTTCAAATGAATGCTCGTGTCTCGACGTTGTTGTTGCTTGCTAAATGAAGGAACTCCGAAAGGGTGACACGTGCGGCTCCTGTGGAGAGGGCCGCTGCAAGACGTGCGTTGTGACGTCCGGCGGCAAATTCTCGATATGTGGCTTTGCTTTCCAACTTCACTCATTGGATCGTGCGAGAGTGTGAAGTTGGAGAAAAAATCTGTCGAGAGTGCACCCGATCCCACGATTGAAGTTGCAGAGGAAAGCAATCGAGAGTGAAGCCCAGAGATCGAGCCCAACTCAAAAGTGGAAGCGCCCAGGGGATTTCGGCGGTCGTTGTAGAATACGATGTGGATCCAAATAAATATTTATTGCAGCCATGCGTACCTTTCTTTACGGAGCCTTGGTTACACATCGATAGTAACTCTTTAGGACTAACCGATGTTGAACGTAGCAAGGCTAGGTTCTTCACGCGAGCAAGGCTAGGTTGCTCACCCCACATCTACCCTAACCCTAACCCTACCCCTACCCCTAACCCTAACCCTCACCCACAGCCAAAGCACGGCCTCGCGGCCGCGAACTGGGCGGCACGCGGCTGCGCCGCGTGCTCGGAATGCGGAACGGGTAGAGCGCTCGGGAGAGGAATCGGCCGCCAGAACCAAGGCAGAACAACGCCCGACCAATCAGAACGCGTTAGTCCTAAAGATCTACTATCAATGTGAAAACACTATACTCTCTTTACGGCTCGCCGAGGGGCATGCTTCTGAATGTACGGCGCATCATACCGCGAGACGCCATGGTCATAAGTTGGGCTATCTTCTCTTTCACGCTGTTGGTGCAGAAGAAACGTTCCTTTCTTCCCCTATCTCGTCAAATGTCCCTCATATATCCAAATCTCGATGCTGCCATGTGCATGCTTGTCTCGCTACACAACGTTCTTCGGACCATTTCCTTCCTTTCGGCCCGCATTTTGGATCTTCTAGGCATGCATATGTGGGCCGCGTTTCCGTGCGGAGTGTGCGGACCGCGTGTAATTGAGGTGCGGGCCGCATTCATGATGATGAACACCACCCCCTCTCTGTATCAAATGACGCCGCCACAACTCATGGCGCCCCCAAAACTCAACAATGCTGCTGCTGCTGCTGTGTGGTAAATGAGCCAATGTTATAACAACATCTAGCAACGGCACGAGCCTGCAGGTACTATTTTTTTCTCAAAAAAGAAAACTATGCCACGCCTCCCATTCTTGTTCCCCGTGCCACGCGCCACGCGCCCACGCGCCCACGCGCCCACGCGCCCACAGCTGTGATTGTTGTGCACACAACCACCACAGAGCAACTGGCGCATGCGTACCCACAGCGGGGATCAAGACTCTCGATGCCCATGGGAACACACCACGCGCACAGAAGTCCTCTCGCTCAACTCTGGCAGCGGTAAAATTTGTACTATCGTCTCCTAAAAACCGAAAATTGCTTAATTACTTGAGATTGTGTGGATTAATTAAATTTGCCAGAGCAGTGGCAAGTGTGAGAGGATTCGTAGAAGAAGAACTGTTCCTCCGTGCACGATTTCGCTCATACAGAAGCCGGGCTGCACTGACTGACGTGTGGGCCGCGTGTTGTGTGTGCTAGGGGACGGACTTCTGTCCGTGAGCTTACCCGCCTTGAGTTCGGTTCCCTCAACTTTGGCGATTTTTGCACATGGCCAAAGAGCGTCGACCGCAAGGCGCTTGCGTCCGAAATAATTGACCCTGCCTCCATATATATATAATATGTACTCCCCAAACCCAAAAACAATAATAATTAAATCAAGCACCCCCCATATAATATACCATTATTATTTCAATTCCGAAAAATTTTAAATCGAAAAGTCAAGTACCGTAATTGTGCGTGTGATGGCACCCATCGCACCCATCGTTGATTTCGCACCCATCCGTGTTATGGCACCGGGGTGCGCAAAAATATCAAGAACGGCATGATTTAAAACTGTATTTCCGCACCGGTATCGGTGTTATCGCACCTGGTGCGATATGAACGAAATAAAATCTGCCCAGGACGAAAAATTGCGTGCCGCAAGGTGCCGGTACCCTCCAGGCCACGTGTCGAACGGTTCGTGACGCGGTTGGCAGGTACCAATTGGGGGGGCTTGTACATTTTCGTACTTTTCCATGGAAAGTTTCATGGACTTCCATGGACTTCCATGGAACCGTTCCATGGACTTCCATGGTCTTCGAAACCTTCCATGGAAGTTCATGAAAAAAATCGTTGAAGACCATTGATTTCCATGGAATTCCATGGAACTTCCATAGGCTTCCATGGCTCTCCATGGAAATCCATGGAATTCAATGAAAAAATTCACGACATTCCGTGAAAAGTTCCATGGATGTCCATGACATTTTTGCCATGAAACATGCCATGAAATAATTTCACTCCTTGTCATGAAACATTTCATGGAAAAAATTCATGGGCGTTCATGAATTCATGAACGCCCGTGAACGTTTATGAAACGTTTCATGAATGCCCATGAACGTTCATGAAAAAACCTTTCATGGACGCCCATGGGCGTTCATGAAATATTTCATGATAGCCCATGGTCTGTCATGAAACATTTCATGGACGTCCATGGTCTTTTATGAAGTATTTCATGAACGAACGTCCATGGATGTTCATGAAATATTTCATGAAAAGGCCATGGACGTCCATGAAACATTTCATGAACGTTCATGAAATGTTTCATGAAAGACCATTGACGTCCATGGACCATTTCATGAACATCCATGAACGTCCATGAACGTCCATAACCATCCATAAAACATTCCATGAACACCCATGGGAATATTTCATGGAATTCCAAATTCTGGAACACCAAATTCGTATACCGGTTGATGGGAATATAATGCAGAAGCACACAAGGAGCATGCATACCAAGACTGAGAGAATTCGTGCAGTAGATTGTTAAGGAGTGTGGCTGCTAGCGTGAATAGGGTACATCCTATTGTTCATAGGATGTGGGATGGTCAGGAGGTATTCGTTCTTGTACCCATACCCCCCCTTAGAGTTGTCTACTTTGTGTGCCCCCTGAGATGAAGTTGGATCCCGACTTCATCTCAGATCCTTGCTGATCGTCTCTCAGCAAAAACAAGCAACTCTCCCATCTCTACATGGCCGTGGACAAGAGTGTCAACGACGGAACCTTCATCTAACTCTAGGAGCAAGCTACCGTCTACGGCTTAACTCCTCGTAAATGGTTTAAGACAACGATGAGGTTGTTCAACATCACGTAACATTGCTTTCATTCGTCATGGGGGTGTGTTGAAATGCAGCGCATTACTTCGGTAGCTAGATTAGATCCAGCTGCATGATTGCTGTATGCCATGATACGAAGATGCGGTGTGATAAATGACGTTTTGTACAGCAGTAGAACGTAACACGGTGTCAGATGCTTGTAATTGTAGCGAAATATGGAACGTTTCATGGACTTCCGCGGAAATTTTCATGGAAGATCATGGAGCTCCAACATGGAACTTTTCATGAAACTCCTTGGACTTTCATGAAACATTTCATGTCATTTCATGGAACTCCTTGGACTTCCATGGAAATTTTCATGGAACTCCTTGGACTTCCATGAAATATTTCATGGAAGTGAAAGGAGTTTCATGAACAGATTCATGGAAGTCCATGAAGCTCCGTGGAAACCAGTAAAACGTTTCTTGGAAGTCCAATGAAGCCCATGCACACATTTCATGGACATCAATGTCCAACACAGCCAAGGCTCATTGTCGGCATTTATCCACCAAGTTGGCGTCACTGGAATATTTCTAGAACGCCCATGAAATGTTTCATAGACTTCCATGATGAAATATTTCATGGACTTCCACGGACTTCCATGGACATGGTGTCATGGAGTTCCATGGACTTCCATGAAACGTTTCATTTTTCCATGGACTTACATGGACATCCATGAAATGTTTCATGGAAGTCCATGGAGGTACATGGACATTCATGAAATGTTTCATGGAACTCCATGGACTTCCATGAAACATTTCACTAAAAAATACTATAATGTAGATGATTGCAATTGGGGGGGGCATTTCATGTACACATATATCATGCCATCGTGGTTTGCACAGTAGAAATGATGTTTTTTTTTCTACGGTAATCAGTACATAGAATGCACTCACTCACCCAACCAACCAAGCACACAGTACACATCCCGCACCTTCAACTAACCGAACAAGAAGGAGTTCGTAAACGCCTACTACTTCAGTTGTACCGGTAATATGCCCCTTGAGGCAGACAAAGACAGAGGGAAGCACCATCCAACAAGGGAGGGGTTTGCGACCAACAAAGAGGCTGGAAGAAAAACCATACCGTGCCGTATACCTTCCCCAGCAGGGAACCACAGCGTCTGTTCTCTTTGGCACACGCCACCCCAAACTCGGATTCGACCTCATCACTGATCACCACTCCGGGCTGGTTGCATAGTACCACCTACGCAAGCTACATGTGCCAGGAACCGGGGGTGCGTTGGAAATCTTGAACGAAATGACATAATTGCATTTCCGCACCACCGATATCGGTGATGATATGGCACCCATCGGTGTTATGACACCGGGGTGCGATAAAAAACCAAGATAGGAATGATTTAAGAAACGATCGCACCCCGGTGCCATCACACGCACAATTACGGTATAGAAGTGTGGTACGGTAGCGGTCGACATCTATCTGTGACTATTCTTGGGCACGATGGGCGTCTCTTTGATCCGTTGTTGTTGGTGTATGCGTGAAAAAGTCCCACAGGCCATGGGAAACAAGATCACACAAGAAGAGAAAGTGATAAAACGCAGCAGATTACAGTAGTAAAGGACCTGCAGCAAACCGCTAGCCAAAACCACACTCACTCACTCGCGCACAAGGGAAAGTCACGGCAGGAGAAAACAAAATACCCCGCTTATATGATGCTAATTCCAGGCAAAATATTTATATGCAGGTTGCGCGCAAGCCGGCACTACCGAACGTTATGACGACCAACCATGCGACTGCGTTGGCATTGATTGGCCATGTCTTGCGTCGCCCCCCGGGAGGCAAATCACCTACCTCCCGCAGGGGACCCTTGTAGTCAAATTATTTTCCGAGACGAACAGGGCGCACACAGAAAAGTGAAGACGATACAGAGGTGGAAAAAAAAAAAAATCGTGGTGTCGTAATTGCGAGCAAGGTTTAAAAATATATATTTTTCTTTAACTTTTTTTTGCTTAATTTGAGTATATTGCAGCGCGGGGGACACATGAGTTTGTAGTCTTTATCTTATGTATAGGTCAATATGGCTTTGCGTGTTGTTCACTCTTCATGCCATTTTTTGCCCGCTGTACATAGGCGAGGGCTAGATGATGTGAGACAAACCGAATGCGAAATCGAGAGTGAAATCGAGAGTGAAATCGAGAGTGACATCGTGAGTGAAATCGAGAGTGAAATCCATAGTGAAATTGAGAGTGAATAGTGGGCGTGAGAGTGTGAGGGCGCGATTCAGCGAGGGTCCGGGCAAACGTGGCAATTGCAGTAGGTGAGGGTGGGCAGAGAGGAAATGAGAGCGGCAGGGTGAGAGTGAGAGCGACAGGATAGGACCCCCACCGGTAATTTCGTCTGCCTGGGGGTGCGAAGTTCTTGTAGTACTCTCATAGTTCTTAGGTTCGCCGAGGGGGCTGCTGATTGTCTCGACCAATGGACATCTCGGGCATGCTATTGACTACTGCACTTTGTCGTCGCCAACCACGACGGACGGGGGGCGTTCGCTCGCGGTCATTCTGGGCCGAATGCCTCGAAACAAGACCTTTCAAGAAGTAGAAATGCATGTTTTTTTCACGTTCGGTTCCGATCTAGCCAACTACTTTTCCTGCATACATACGTACCTCTATTCAACCCTAGTGTATGGTCTTTGAACTACTGTAGATCTGCGTTGTAAAATGAACGTGTGTACAGTAGCTCTACTAACAAGCCTTCATCACTACCTTTCTTATCCCGGCGTGGCAGACCTGATCAGTCGCAGAGGCGGACGGGGTGAGCGTCGTGAGTTGATGTTCTACTCTCCAAGGCACGTTTTCTGGTTTTCTGGTGGGTACACGTGTGCACGTGGTGACCGTTGAGGATATGTACTGTAGGGGTACATTCGTGGTCCCGGTTTTCTAGTTTGGCGTCCCCTAGTTTGTTTATTGTTTTTTCTTCACTTCAAATCAGCGCTCACAGCACCTGCGTCCTATTTCTCCAACCCGTGGTCACGCAGAAGGGCGATTCCTCCTTGAGGCCCCCTACCGACCCATCCTGTGGTTCTTTGCCTTCGATTTTTAATGCGAGAAGAGTGCAGCACTCTGTCTTCTCTCTGTGTACACACGAACTGCAGATGGCGCTTTCCACCTAGGCCAGGAACGGAAGCGAGAGAACTCTCGCTTTGCAAGAAAAGCTCGGTTTCACGGGGAATCAAACCCCTCGACCCTGCCACTACTGTAGGAGGTTTTCGAGGATGCCAACTAGACGATGCATGTACACCGGGGCGACCGGGGAGCAATGATATACATTATTTGACATTTCTATGGACAGGTCCATGGACGGTGGTCCGCGGACGCGTCTGCCCACGCCCGGGGACGCGTACTTGGACGTCCACGGGCGTCCACGGGCGAGATAAGTTATTGCAATATTGCTTCAACACCTCCGAAAACTCCTAATGGGCATGGGTGTAGTTTTGTTTGTATGCCAGAGGCGACAGAATATGTCACACCCCGTCACCCCCTGGTCCAATTTTCACCGCTCGAGTAGTTCCTTAGCAGAAAGAGTGCAACGGTTCCAACACGCATGGTGGTCCGTGTCGAATACTGTATGACAAACAACAGCGATCAATGACGTGATCCACCAATCCAAAGCAGATTGGAGGTGTCGGAATCGTGTCGTGAAGCTTTCCCAAGAGGTATCGCTTTGAACTACAGATAAAAATATGCATCCTCTTCCTTCGTGGAATAAAACACAACTGCTGCTATGTTTGGTCTAGGGGGTGCACTATCAAAGCCTTGTGCCAACCAAGCCTGTCAAACTAATAGACCTTGACTGACTGACGCTATCACGCTGCTGTTCAGAAGTGAACAAAGCTCTGGTAGATTTCAACATGTTGGAACGTTGCTTGTATCGAGTACATAGCTGTACACGCTCCATCCAACGTACAAGCTTTCAAGGACCAATCGCTCCGCAAACGGAGAGCGTCTCTCGATGTCCCCCAACCTCGCGGCGTCGGAGCAGCCAATGCTCCTCACGCTCTACCCCTCCCCCTCGACGAAAACCTTCGGGCGTCCTAAAGATCAAGTCCTAATTTTGGTTGGAACAACGGTAAACGGGGGTAACGGGAATGTGCACTGCCATCCAGGGGTAGTCAGCGTCTCTCAGGTATTGAGCTTCTCATGAAGGGCACGAGCCAGCTCCTCATCGGTCTTGTCGGCATCCGGCAGTCCGCTGGCATCCTTGGGTTCTTCGCCCGGGGCACTGCCCGTTGCTCTGAACGACAGGGTTTCTGTCGGAGGCGCCTCTTCTTCCGAAGGCAGCGGTTTCATCATCACCACGGGTTGTGGCAAGGGGTCCAGCATATCCAGGTCCGGTACCGGCTCGTAGTAGATCGAATTGTTGTCCTAAGGGGAAGGAGGGGAGGGGGGGCCGTCAAGTTTCGTAAGGATCGCTGATCGCGTCTGTGCCTACCCCGCAAAGGATGGTGTATGACAGTGCACGTTGCCAGCGTGGGTGCTGTCGTGCTTCTGAATAGTGCTGCTAATCCACAATATTATGAGAGAACAACAACGCCTGATGCACGCTCTCATCGGGTCACACGAGTCCATTCTTCATCGTCATGCACCAGGAATGCAGGAATTCCAACGAGCTTATGGGAGTTGCGAACTTGTAACAATCACACCTTACGTGAAGGCAGGCAGCACTTCGTTTGTGGCAAACAGATCCACCCGAAAATGCAGCGTTGCGAGATTCTCCCACTATTAAGATCACTTCCATCAGACACAGAAGCGGGTTGGTTGGCTAGTCGCGCACCTTGGCGTAGGCGTCGCGCAGCTGCCTGAACTCTCCCTGGAGGGTCTTTAGGTCGTGGGAGATGTTTCGCAGAGGTCCGGCCAAGGGCGGCAACCCGACGCTAACCGCGTCTCGCCTCTCCTCTACGTACTTGCAAGCCTGTCAACAGAAACATGTAGACGCGTAAACGCAGAGGGAGAGCGTTACACTCTTGCGCCTGGCATCGGACTGCGAGGGCAATATGGCGTATAAAGTCGAGTTGCACAGCGAAAGGCCTAGAGCAACGGTGAGTAGCGCAGCAGCATCGGTCGGGACAAGCCAGCCAACACGCGAATTCGGAGTGGAGTCGGCCAGAGTGTAACTCGGAGCAGCGCAGCGCGGCGAGCAGCAGTAGTTGACGGTCAACATCTTGTGTCAAGCCATTTTCGGTCCCGAGAATGTTCTGGATCAACGGTATCGAAACAGGTGAGTTGCCCAAGCTCAGAGCTGGTCCCGATCTTCATACGACAGCGGCGTTCTACGTGCCTCCACAAGGTAGTTGAGGCGGAGCATATCCGCCGTCTTACTCCATCGCGCTACAGGCCCCTATAAGTTCGGCAACCGTTCTACTTCTCGCCCACACAGGGACGACAGGAAAAGCTAACAGGAACAGGATGACAAAAACGGTGATGGCAAGTACGAGCCGCCACGTTTGCAGAGTTCGCGTCGAGTTTGCCCCCGGGTCCCTCAAGCCAAAAAAAATACGATGCATGTACGTGATACCACCCAACCTCCACCGAGTAACCCATATGTACTCTGAACGAGGCACAAGATACCCGACTCCCGATACCCCCCCCCCCCCCCCCCCCCCAAAAAAA